TTTCCTTACTGAATTGTTTTCTGGAATGAAAAGAACAGTAGGGACTGTGGGAAAACACTGGAAGTTTAAAACTGGAACACCAGCTATAAACCATCTCTTTGGCCATTTCTGGAGGAGACGCTGTCTACAAGGATATGCTTGCTTACCAGTCCTTTCAAAGTTAAACAATCTCCCAAGCAATAGTTGTGGAGAGTTAAAGGCTGGGATGCTGAGCAACTGTCTTTAGCCCCTTCTTTTTCAATACGATGAGATTCTGAGACCAAAAAAGGAGGAGGAGAACTTAATGTTCTGAGCAGACTTTTGGGTCACAGTAGTAGTATGAGCCACTTTGGGGATGGCTTGTTGCCCTCAACAAGGTTTGATTTGACTCATGATTTGTGGTTATATAATTTCTCTCACAGGTTACCTTTGTTATTAAACAATCATTGCCAGATAAAGTAACTATATGCCAAATGAAAGCAGTTGTGGTAGAAATTTCACCTGGGTTATAAGGCTTTATCCTCTGTGCTATACGGACAGAATGGTTGTAGCACTGTCTGTCATATGACACACAGTTTCCCCAAAAATTTAAGGGCCGGCCAGCCAGTTAATAGAGTGAGATTGCTCCATGACAGCAAATTTGTATTTAGCATATTTATTAAATTATTTATGTAATTGTTATGATTGTAGTTTTTACTGCCACTGAGAAGCCCTTGATTTTGGTTTGTGTAGTAAAATTATACTCTGCATAGTGAACCAACTGGGTGGGAGGGCAGGCAGGCAGGTTGGTAGGTGGGAGGGAGAGGTTTGCTGCTTTATCTGAGACAACGAAACATCTTGTGCCAAGTCCGAAGTAAGCCCACAAAGCTATTATTGTTTATACTTATCTGCCTGTCCTGTCTTCAGAGACCAAGGTAAGTTATTTGTGTCTTTACACAGTCTTCCAATTTATGATCAATACCTAAATAAATGCCAGTTCAGTCCTTATTTCAAAAATAATTTATGTGGGCTCTCTAAAAGCCTGGCTGAAGTAAATGTTGACAGAAATAATAGCCTCCCTACTCCCAGTGTTGTGTGTGGGATGAGTTTGGGAGGTGAGAGAATATGGGTCTAAATAAGAACCATGCTGGCTTACAACAAAGTCCCTCTAAGCTCAGTGGTATTTCTGAATAGATATACAGTACAGTGGACCCTTGACTTACAGACGGCTTGACTTACAGACGTTTTGAGTTACAGACTTCTCTGGCCGCAAAATTTAGCTTTGACTTGCAGACTGAGATTTGACTTACAGACCAGAAAAAAACAAAAATGGAACAAAAACGGCCTATTACGGGATTAATCGGTTTTCAATGCACTGTAGGTCAATGGAGACTTGACTTACAGACTTTTTGACTTGAGAACCGCCTTCCAATACGGATTAAGTTCTCAAGTCAAGACCCCACTGTACATAAGATTGGGTGGTACGTGTCCTAAGGCACAAGGAGGCAACTTGTGACTCTCCAGACATTGTTGGGCTGCAGGACCCATTAACCCTAGCCCCATGGTTTTCAGTCAGTGGCACAAGCGATCCTGTTGGGACACAGGAAGAATCTTGCTAGGAAGTAGCATTTCTGTAACTACCAGTACTGAGAAATTCTTAGCAATAAGAATTCCAGAATTCACACTCCCTCATTCTGTAAGTGTGATGTCCCCCTCTGTGATCTTCAAGTGAGCTAATAATAACTTTAGACATTCAAGCTAAAACTTTGTGGAGGAAAACTGCATGTCAAGGCACTCATGCAGCTGTTTTCTCTTTCATAGGCTGCCTGTTACACAATCGGCTGTGCTTCTGGTCATGTGCCTCGTTTTCTAACCGTTGTCCAACTGGCTAAGGGAAGGATAGTCTCCTAAAGGAGGAGGTGTTTTGGTGATTGCCTTTAACCAGTCACAGATTTGACCACAGCCTTAATTAACAAGTCTTTTACCCATAAAGTTTATGTGTTAATGATTCCCAATCCACTCCTTTGGTTCTGTTGAGGTGAAAAGGGGGCTGATTTGCTTAGAGTTGGACGGCTGAAGGTCATCCAGAGCATGTGCAGTTGCATTTGTAGCTTTGAGCAAACTGTATAATCCCCGAGGGCCACAAGGAGGAGGGCTGGTATACCGCTTCTGAGTATTTTATACAGTACCTAGAAAATCCTGGAACTGACTTGGTGGAACACTATTTCAAGCTTCAAAGCTTGAGAGATATAAAGAGATATAAAGCAAGAATGGGGTGGAGGAGACAGGGAGAGGATGAAATACAAAGAGCTGTTCCTTGCTTGACACACACCATCTTATTCACCTGAAAGGGAGGTTCATTTTGTGTTGCTGCAGGTGATGCTGCTAACCAAAATGAACCACCCTTTTGATTCCTCCTCTCCTTTCCTCGCTGTTCTGGCCAAACATCCAAACCAGTACAGTACTGAGTAGCACACAGTTAAATAATCAATCACATCCATAACTGTTGTAGTGGATCTCCACCCCCACCCCCATTTAAAAAACCATTTCCCCCAGTTTGTTACTGCAAAATGTAACTAATTATTTTTAAAAACTCATCTGAAAAGTGAGTTACTTCCAAGCTTTGCTTTAACCCATTATGTGCCAAAGTGAGAAAAAGATCATGCAGCTGAAATTGTGACACTAATTAAAAACACTAATTAGCTTGCCTGCTTTTGGGGTTCTTCGCATGCCTATAACACAGAGATGGCTCTTGGGTCTGCACAGCTCCCCTTTCTCATGCATGGCAATATCTCCCAGTATTAATTTGAGATTACAAAAGTTATGAACCGGAGAATTCAGGATTCCTTATGGCAGCATAAAAATTACGTTGCTGTATTTCCTCCATATTTCCTACTGATCAGTTATACTGGACAATCCTCAAAAGCTTGTATGAAGAAAAAAATTCTCCATGCACTGCACAATTTAAAAACCTGTTACCATGTAATCTGCTTTACTCTTTTGTTTTTCCTAAATCTAGAAGACCCAAACACTGTAGCTTCCCCATTTGTGGGAAATGTTCTAGTGTCATTTATTGCCCTTTTCCATGTTTTTTTTTCCCTTCTGGTACTTCTATTTTTTTTTTTTTAGATGGGGTGACTAGCACAGAACACTGTAATATTCGCACATTTGTTTTCAAAAGGGACATAAGTCCTAGTGTCATCTTGGCTTTAGAACAACAGTTGGAATACAAAGATATAGTCCCTACCACAATGTTTGTATGGTGGGGCTGTAGTTGGATAGTCCAGGAGCAATGTGGCACAGTGATTAAACTGCAGTACTGCATCTAAAACTCTGCTGACAACCCAGATCCAATTCCCAGGTAGCTGGCTCAAGGTTGATTCAGCCTTCTGAGATGGGTAAATTGAAACCCCAGCTGTGGGGGGGGGGGAGAGATGTAACCTGCATAATTAAATTGTAGCCTGGTCTGCACTTTTTTTTAACCTGAGAACAAACAGAATCATTTGGACAAGTATTTGTGTGTGTGTGTGTGTGTGTGTGTGTGTAATTAAAGCAACAGTAAGAAAACGCAAGAGGATTACAAGCCATGTTTGGTGAACAAGGTAGAATGATAGCACAATCAGAACCTCATCTGCAAGTATCGCTTCTACTCAGCTTTAGGTCCTGTGAAGAGGAACTGTCGCTCAGTGGCAGACAGCATGGGTTGTGCATCGAAGCCTCCACCCCCAAGATCGATGACTGACATCTTTCCTTTAAAAGGGATCACATATCAGGTCTGGGAAGGATCATCTATCTGAGGTCTTGAGTTAGAGGTGTGCAGATTTTTGTTTTTGGACTATAGCTCCCAGAATTTTCTGGACATTTATGTTATCCAGGGAATTCTGGGAGTTGTAGTCTGGAAACACAGGCATGCACACTTCTGCCTGAGATCTGTTGCCAGTCAGAGTAGACAATGCTGGATAAGCCAGACAAGTTGTCTGACCTCATATAAGGCAGATTCCAGGGTTTTTGTGGTGCAATGACTACAAAGAGTGTCTCTGAGTGCTTGCAGAGTGCCTTTCTCCTTTCAGCCCTAAACAAGTCTTTACTGCGCATCTGCCATCAGGGTTAAGGCAGAGTCCTTTAAGGGAAATTCTGACATTTCCTATGTTCAACACCAAGCAGTGTCCAGAAAATACATGTTCTATGTCAGCATGAAAACACACTTGGGGTACTATTGGTCAGCTGTGATGTTTAATTTTAATTAATTTATTAATTTAATTAGTAACACACATATCCTATTCTTACACCAATGGAATACAGATACATGTAGACCATTCTTCTTTGCCCCTTTAGACTCACAACAACTATGAGGCAAATCAGGCTAAGAGAGTAAAGGCTTGTCTGCACAGGGGCGTTTCAAGTGGGCTGGTGCTGGCTAAATAGGCTTGCTTAGGATTGGATAAAGGTCCAGTATGCCATTTGGCATGCAGGACTTGAAGCAACCCTACTGGTTCCAGCTGCTTCACCTGTCAGTTTGCCATAAGGTGAAGTGGCTTAGGAAGAGAGGCACTTCAGGATATTGGCAAACTGAACACTCCAGGGAGAAGCAGAGGAAGTAAATTATTTTAGACTCCGTTAGGGCAGCACAGATGCACTATGTCACTTATAAAAAATATAAATATAGAAAAGTTCCTTTTGGAAATGGGTCGAGAGAGATGGGGGTGCAACAAAAGACATGTTTTTCTTTCATTTGGTTAGCCTTAAATCTCTGGTTGAGAACCTGCCTGCAGTCGAATCCAACGCTGAGCACCACCCATTTTCACCAGGCGGGTGGTGGTTCAGAAGAAACAAAACAATTCCAGAAATCACGGGCAGATCGGTTTCAAAATGGGGTCTGCAGAGTTATGCCAAAGATGTAGGTTTCAGATTCCACCTTTCCTGTCGTGGTGAATCTTGTTAGATAAAAGGATGCCGCTCATGCAGCATCATGAATGTTTCTTCTGCCAACCGGTCAACGAAAGGGGGTGGGGTGGGGTCAGAAGGAAGCAAAGGCTGGCTGAGGAGAACCGTTCCGGCACTAACCCTCCTTTCCACCTTAAACCATCGGAGGTCGCTCCACCTTAAAAGCTGCAGCGTTGTGGGCTCCGGCCCATCCCTTTGCCTGATGCTGATGTTGCCGATGCAGCAGCAGCAGCAGGAGGAGAGAGCGAGCGGGGGGGATACAGGCACTGCAAGCAGCAAGAGCAACATCAGCATCCCGGGGTAACGAGCCGGGCACGGAGGACCCACCAGCCCAGCTGAGAGAGCCCAGCTGCTCTGCCGCTGTGGGGTGACAATCAAGGAAGGCGTCCCCTTGCTTTTGCGATCTGTCTGTGACTGCCTGCCCCCCCTCCTCTCCCACACACACACAAACACACACACACAAACGCACACACCTTCCCTTGGGAATTGCCTCTTTTCTTCCACCTCCTCTTCGTCCTCCTCGCCGCCACCTCTTCGCTTCCCAGACGACAAAAGCCTCCCTCCATCAGGACACCAGCCCCACAAAACCGCCCAGCCAGCCAGCATGACGACGGAAGTCAATGAATGCAGCATCAAAGTCCTCTGTAGGTTCCGGCCCTTGAACCAGTCGGAGATCCTCCGGGGGGATAAATTCATCCCCGTTTTCCAGGGGGATGACACCGTCATCATTGGGGTAAGTGCGCGCCAAGGCGATGGAGAGGGGCGGGGGCGACCCAGGGGCAGGATTGGGGGCGGGCTGGGCTGCAGCAGGGATGGCTTCGAGGCGCCTCGATTTTCTTAGGAGCTGGGCCTGTTTCTGTAAGGCAGGTTTGCCCTTGGGCGTGAGTCTCCCCCAAAGCACCCACTGGCTTCTTAGATTAAATGTACACACATCGCCCTCTTGGGTCTTCAACAATCATCTCGCTGAAACCTGCTTGGAAGCATCCTTGCTGAAAATCCATCTCTGTCTAAACAAGGCATTCCTCCCTCCTTAGGAGATTGCTGGCTGCCTTGGGGTTCCTTCTGCTTGTTTGGTTGCTGTTCATCCTTAGCGTTGCAGACTTGGTCATGGGTGTGGCTAGCTGAGCTATCAAGGTGGCTACTGGGATGAAAAGAGGACTCCTTTGGCCTTGGAAGGGAAAGTCCAACAACAATTTCTATCTTCCCCCACACCCACACAATCTCACACGTTCTACTTAGCTGGTATATTTATTTTCTTTCCATACTCTAAAATATAGCCCTTCTTCCTGGTCAAAGCATCACCTTTGGAGTTGTGCTTCCCAGAGGTGAAAGCTGAAAGGTAGTGACAGCTCAGTTGATTCCCTCAATGGCGATTTTCTGCTCGTAACACACACACACACAACACACACACAGCAAAGCGCTTCATGTTAGCTGGCATTCGCACAGGAAGAAGATCCGGATTAAAATGGTGCCAGTGGCTTACTAAAGGAGAATGCATGTTGTTTACTCAAAACTGGAAATGCCCTGATGCTTGTCCCCATGGTCTCTGTGTTTGTCACTTGGTACAATTCTGGGCTTTTCACCTTCTGTTATCTTGTTTGCACCTAGTTGTTAAATAAACCCTCCTTAGTGTGTGCTTGTGCAGGTGGGGAGAGGGTTTATCTGCTGGTGTGGGTGAACATGTTGTCAGAGCCACCCTGCTGGTATTTTGCCCGTGAAAGATGTTTTTCTCATGATATGCCAGTGCCACGGACACTTTTGTTTTATTAGGGAATGGGTATGGGGGGGGGGAATTCATGTTGAGTGTGTGGACTTGTGCAATCACAGGCAGGTGACCCACTGAATATCACTCTTTAAGGGGAGGGGTAAGAAAGCACTGCCAATGTTACTCAGTCATTGATGATGGCATACATGAGAATTAGAACTCCGCCCCTCTCCTGCACCCCAAGTTTGCTGCACATCCTGCTGTGGCTTCTGAATGCCACCCTATCCTTTTGCTGCAGAGAAAGTTATCAATCTGCCTGCTTCTGGGGCCTGACCCTTCTCTTCCCGCTGCACAAGCAGATTTCACCCTGTGATGTCAAATTTGTTTTCTTTGTGCACACCAAGCCTGAGTTTACTAAAAGATAGCAATTAAAACAAACAAATCAACACAAACCAACCAACCAACAAATGCCATTCAATTCAGGATAGCTGTGCCGCAAAGTCATTTCTGTTGGGTGGCTTGGGCAGAGATTTTCCATCTCCCAAAACACAGAGGTTCTGTTTCTTCCAGTTTATATTATATATATTTGCCTTTGTCTTTCAAGGTTGTCCACCTGACCCTTTTCAAACCTGTCCCTTTTATTGAAGGCCCTTCTCAATGCCGGACTAATTGAGCAGAATGTGCAGGTTTCAAACTGAACTTGTGGGTGCAACAGAGATGCGACTTGTTGTTTTAATGTTCCCTTCCTGGCAAAGGCAGCAATGCATGAACGTCACAAAGAGAGAAGGTGAGGCAAGCAGGCAGGCCAGCAGGAGAATGTGGTGGCGGTGGGGCCGCCTCCCTTGCCTGCTGAGGCTCAGCTGCTTCGTCATTCCTCAGAGCAGTGACAGGGGACAGTCTGCTTCTTCGGAAGGAACCACTCCCCTCTATTGTGCTCAGCTCCCTGGTCCATGGCTGGCGTGATTCCTGCCCGCAGTGTTGCTTGGAGGTCTTCCGAATACCCCCTCCTGCCTTACTTTCCCCCTTTCCAGGCTAGATCACAGAAAGGCTGATATGTACATGATTGTCTTCTTTTCGACATGGATGCAACAGAAGAAGCTTGGCTTTGGTTTGGGTTTTGCAAGCAACTGATTGGGAGCAACCTAGCTTTTCTCAGGCCTCCAACCCCTTCATCTTGTTCCTCCCTGGGGTTGTGATGGAGAGGCAGAAAGGTGGTTGGCTGTAATGTTGTTGTTGTCAATGCATAGCAATCTGTATTTATTTATTCACTGAGCTTAATGGTTTTGTCTTTCTTGTGCTGAACACCTCCAGCCTGGAAGATTTTCTTGTTTTATTTTTATTTTATTTTATTTTATTTTATTCTGCTGGTAACTAGATCGGCTCCAAGTATTTATTTATTCACTGAGCTTAATGGTTTTGTCTTTCTTGTGCTGAACACCTCCAGCCTGGAAGATTTTCTTGTTTTATTTTTATTGTATTTTATTTTATTTTGCTGGTAACTAGATCGGCTCCAAGTCAGGAAAAGCTGACTATTTAGTCAGGATTTCTCTTCTCTCTCTCTTATTATGGAAGAGGTCTGGGGAATTCGAAAGCTTGCTTGCTATTTTGGAAGATTTTGGCTGGTGCTGCTGATAACAGGTGCTACAGTTGCTTTTGGGTGTTTTCCATGAGCTGACATGGCTGACTTAGCTTTTCTCAACCCCAACCTTAACTTTAATACAAGCAAAATTTGTCATTGGGGCAACTAATGTTGCAGAAGATTGTGGATGTCGGTCCTAATAATATCCTATGCATGGATGTTGGTTTTCTTTTTAGAGAGATAGTTATCTTTGTTTTCATAGACACCCTGCCATTAGTCCATCTCTTTGTGAGAGATACAGTAATGCTGATTTAGGCTCTTGGTCAGGCATGGGCAACAGGAGCCCTCTGTTTTTATTTCTATGGTTTTTAATTTTTATTGGCTACCACTTCTTGCAGCGCTAGCCAGCGTATCTAATGGTGACGGATTATGGAAGTAGTGGTCCCAAATCCTCTGAATGTGTCCCGCCCCCCCATTGCTGCTCCCTGCTCTAGGTTATAGCCACACCTCATTCCATGATTACCCAGAAGCTAAAATGGAAGGAAGAGCCATGATTTATCCTGCAGGCTGAACTCTTGTTTCCATAAATCTCAGCGGAGCGAGCTGAATGAGTCACTCCGTGCCCAGTATAACTATGCCCTAGGAACCTTTCAAATGAAGTACGCAAATTTGAAAGATTAAGATTTATAGTACAGTATACATATTAAACAGATGGCATGTACACAAAGTGTCATTGAGGATTACAGGGTTTTCCACGTTGTCAGCCAGAGAACATCACAATACCCAGATAGCAAAAAGGTTTGCTAGCAGTCTATCTCCCCCACCCCTTTGTCCCCATATCTTCCCAGATCCCACCGTTCATTCTTCTTGTGTCTTGTGAAACATGTATGACTACAATTCCACCCCACGCTACCTGGGGAAGGGAGGTTTGATGGGGGTTGGAAAACAACAATGATGGAAGGACAGTAGGGGAATTCTATCCTCCTGCCTTAATTAAATAACAATAATACATTCATGAAACAAAAGCAATGTTAAATAGTTTTATTTAATTAACTAGCAGTTTATAGTATTTACATACCACCTCTCTGGTTCCTTTTCAGTTAATATTATAACCACAAAATATACAAATGGAATAATATCAGCAGCATAAAATTCAACAATATTGAAGAACAACCATGCAAAGGATCGAAAAATAACTTGATGTTACCACTGGGTATCCACATACCCTGTGTGCTATACTGGATAGAGTGGCAGATTAGGATTCAGGAGGCCTGGGTTCGAATGCCCACTCAGTTGTAGAAACCGACTGGGGGAGTGGAGCTGGTAAAACCACTCCTTAAACATGAATTAGCTTCCTTGAGAACCCCATTAGGGTAGTCAGTTCTGACTTGATAGCACATAACACAATACAGTACTGTATCAGTATGTCAGAGACTACAGCACCAAGGAAGCCTTTTTCGGGAAAGCATTCTGCTTTAAACAAAATTTCCTCTCTTTAATAATAATCGGTCACATTCCATTCCTCATTTGGAACAGATACATCGAGAAAGGCAGGATGGGTTGCTCAGACTGCAAGCTGTCAATTGTATCTTACAATAGATGTAGTTTACACCTTGCTGGCTATCATCTCCTTGTTTTCTTTCTCCCCCCCTCCAGAAAATTAAATCCAATATCTTCCATTCCCAGGGAGAATGAAGACACCCACAAGCATAAAACAAAGCATCATAAAACAATCCTATTATTAAATTACTGGGATTTTAAAACATATTTAAAGCCTACAGCTAGACAAAAAGAAGAGTCTCTACCCTGCTGAAGAGGAAAGCTTGAGTTTTCTAGATAAACCCAGAAAAGGTCATTGCCCTGCAGAATTATTTTATTTAACTTGCTAGGATTCTAGTAGTCCAAAAACTGAGGCTTGCAGCTTGTTAGAAGGCTTGCTTAAAAACCACGACCACCACCAGCACCACCACAAAATGTCTCTACAGTCTCTGGAGCAGAGTAAAGGACTCATTGGGAAGCCACATGGGCATCATTAAACATGAAATGCACCTCCGGATGCAGTTCTGTGTACCCATCTTCTAATTCATATGTAGATCGATCATGGTGGATCACAGGTGAAGCAGGAGTGTGTGCAGTTTAACTCAGCTCAGCATTTTACAATAAGTATCCCCCTGATTGCCTGTTGGCAGGACCATGGGCTGCTTGTAGACAGGAAGTTCTGGGCAACAACAACAGTAGCAGCAAAATACTCTTTCCCTAATGCCCACTTGCTCTACTTCAGACAGCAGGTGGTGAGGCAGAGCAGAATCTCAAGTGTCACTTGTAGACAGGAAGTTCTGGGCAACAACAGCAGCAGCAGCAAAATACTCTCTCCCTAATGCCCACTTGCTCTACTTAAGACAGCAGGTGTGAGGCAGAGCAGAATCTCAAGTTTCACTTAATTAACACC